ACTCGACCCATACTTTATTTCTTTTTTTTTCCTAGCACGTGGCCTGATCTTATCCCTATTAATGAAACTTCAGTTTTTACATAGAACTATAATTATTTTATTCCTCATTGATATCAAAATAGAGAAACATCTCTTTTGTGCAGTTCAGTCTGAAAACTTTCAGTTCTTTGAATAGCTATTCATTATTTATATTTACTCTATTCTTAACCATTTAAAGTTAACTTCTACAAGAGCAACCCTTTTAGAGCAATAGCAGGAAATAAGTGAGAAAAGACCTTGATTAGAGTGAAGTTTCTACAGTATTTTGTTCAGTTGGTTCAACCTTGTTATGCCATATTTTGATACATACTAAAAGTAAGATATAATTGGGCAGTATTATCCAAAGTGTGTTTATTAATAGGTGTTGTGAAAAAATTGGTTCCATGAAAATAATTTAGGAAATGCTGGGTTAAAACAACATTTGATCAGATTTCTTTCCTGTAGAACCTCTTAGAGCTTTTGGTTAATGTACACCAATGGGTGCCCTGAAACTCCAAGAAGGAAGAGATAGTATATAACTTTTCCTAAGCAAGGCTTGTCTGGCAGAGCCACCTTACAGACTGACAGTTCACAGAACATACACTGGAAAACCTTGAAACGGAAAATGAGTGCGTTCAGTACTATTTTATGTTTCTTGAAAAGTTACTATATGGCATAAATTGATATATTTATAGCATCACCTTTATCTTTAGTTTTTGCCTTTTCCTTAAAAAGATTTGCCTTTGGAGATAAGCAATTACACAATAAGATTATTCTTTTTTTTTTAATTTTTTTTTTAACATTTATTTAGTTTTGAGACAGAGACAGAGCATGAACGGGGGAGGGGCAGAGAGAGAGGGAGACACAGAATCGGAAGCGATTATTAATTCTTAAGAATTAAAAAACAAATAATTCAGCCAAAGAGTAGTTTCACAGTCCTCACTGAGCTTCTGTAGGAATACACGCTTAAAAAAGAAACTAAGGAAAGACCAACCATTTTAGTACTTTCTCCCACTTTGAGAGCTGTGTGGTAAGTAAACCTTTCTAGTCTAAGATCACAGTCTGGGGCCCACAGGATAGATCTGGGCTGCAGTTAGTTTTTTTGTTTTGTTTTCTTTTTAAATTTTTTTTTAATGTTTTATTTATTTTTGAGACAGAGAGAGAGACAGAGCATGAGCAGGGGATGGGCAGAGAGACAGTGAGACACAGAATCCAAAGCAGGCTCTGAGGCAGGCTCTGAGCTGTCAGCACAGAGCCCGACGTGGGGCTCAAACCCACGTACCATGAAATCATGACCTGAGCTGAAGTCAGATGCTTAACCGACTGAGCCACCCAGGTGCCCCTGCAGTTAGTTTTGTTTAGCCTGTCCCAGTGATTTTAACATTTGAATTCATTCTCAACATTTTAAAATCTTGAAGTTTCATGTGAAAATCTGAATTTCTAGCTAAACTTGAAAAATGGAAAAGTCTTACAACACATTCACAAATGATAACTACTTCTCTGCTTCCTTTAAAAGGAATGGTTTACTCTAGTGTGTCATTGCCTGCTTACCAACTGCTGTCCTGGGGACTGGCAAATTTATGCTATACGTCCATCCCTACAGACGTTTGGTTTTGTGTAACTCCTGCTATAAGGACATGGCATGGCTGAAGGGCTAATGGGCTAATAATGGGCTGAAGGGCTAATAAAGGCACTCTAGAAAGGTGCCTCTTTCTAGAGTGATCTTTATAAGCAAATGTGGTCTCCAGGGAAGAGTGTTGGAATCAATGTCGGGCTCATTTAAGGGAATTTTCACCATGTCTGATAAAGCCCCTGTACTTGTCCTCAGGACATTGAGGCTCTTACTGCCCAGAGTATAGCCTATTTGACAACATACTAAAAGAGTTGTTTCTCTCTCTCTCTCTCTCTCTCTCTCTCTCACACACACACACACACACACACACACAGTGATCCCTTTATATGTAATGGTTGTTTTACTGAGAGAAATTTATGATGAATTAAAAAAGAATTGTAATTTCATCCATTCTCAAAAATAATTATTAAAGAAACAAAGATAATCAAAAAGAAGTTCTCTTATTTATATTTCACCCCTTTGTATAAAATATTTGAGTCACCTTAAAAACTATGGTATTCAAAAAGTAGAGAAATATCTATATATATAAATCAGGACCAGAAAATGTATTCGAAGAGTAAGTCAGAAAGATAAAATATGAATATCAGGCCCTGAGGGCTGAGAATTAACTTAGAAGCTGGAGAATATGCCTTGTGTGAGAGTGGGCTTATATTTCAGAGATAATCCAGGGTGAATGGAACTTCCCAGTGCAAAACAGTACCTCAGTATTACTTTTTGCTTAGTGTGTAGAATGTGCTGATGTTGAGCACTCTCAACAATAGCCAAATTATGGAAAGAGCCTAAATGTCCATCAACTGATGAATGGATAAAGAAATTGTGGTTTATATACACAATGGAGTACTACGTGGCAATGAGAAAGAATGAAATATGGCCCTTTGTAGCAACATGGATGGAACTGGAGAGTGTGATGCTAAGTGAAATAAGCCATACAGAGAAAGACAGATACCCTATGTTTTCACTCTTATGTGGATCCTGAGAAACTTAACAGAAACCCATGGGAGAGGGGAAGGGGAAAAAAAAAAAAAGAAGTTAGAGTGGGAGAGAGCCAAAGCATAAGAGACTCTTAAAAACTGAGAACAAACTGAGGGTTGATGGGGGGTGGGAGGGAGGGGAGGGTGGGTGATGGGTATTGAGGAGGGCACCTTTTGGGATGAGCACTGGGTGTTGTATGGAAACCAATTTGACAATAAACTTCATATATTGAAAAAAAAAAAGAATGTGCTGATGTTGGCCTATGTTGACATTTCTCTGATTCTGTATGGGTGGGAGCTCTGAGGAGCTGTTTTCTGGTGGCAGCTGGGAAACGCAGGTTTTGTGAATACGATTTAATCATTACTGTCCTTGAGTCTTCTTCCTGTACTTTTACCTAATCTATAATACAAGAATAGGCTAAGGGAATGGGTTATGTGTGATGTACTGAGATGAGGGTGCGGCGGGAGAGGAGGCAGTAATGACGGCTCTCAGCAGGAAGGTTTGAGATCTTCTGCAGAGTTCTTTTCAGCAGCAGTAACGTACAGCTATTAGAGAAGGCTGCATTTTCTGTACTTCTGATTAAATGAAACCAGAACACCATGGATACTACAAGGGAATTGTTTTCATTTGTGAAACAAAGTGACCCACAATTAAATTCAGTTATTGTAGAGTGATTGGAGTTGCCTTACCAGGTCCTGAAGCTGCCTTCAATTTATCAGGGATGAAACTGGAAGAAGAGAAGACTGTGCAGAAAAAGATATGTCTTACTTTTTTGTTATTGGTGATATTAGGATCTTTGTTTTTATAATGTAAAGAAATTATGTTTTTAATTAAAAATTAATAATGGGTCCTCATGAAGGGATTTAAAAGGGGTGCTTTACGGTATTTGTGAATCTCCCTTTGTGGTAAATGTCAAGGGAACAGTAATTTAGTCACACAGACCAGCAAATGTTATGCGGAAAAACTAGATTTTTCTTTTTCACATGATAGAGGTGGAACAAATGCTTCAATGTTAACAGAATTGCAAACAGGTCCCTGTTTTCAGGGTCTAGGGAAGAAATGGAGATTTTACTGCTTCTGGATAACTGATGAAGGCAACAAGGTCGTAAAAAGCAAAAACTTAGGTGGGGGTGAATTTTGTAGCTGTCATAAGGAATGTATGGACTGTTTCTAACTGAGCAGTGCCAGTTTTGGAGTTGACTCAAGGTGTTTTGAAAGCGTAATTGACAGGTTTACTACCTTTCAAATGAGAGTACTTCTAGATATATAAGTCAGGCCACATAAGAAATCATCTTATGCGTTTTTTTGCATTAAGTGTTGACAGTTAAGCAATGGGGAAGATGAAGAATTGTGTTGATACTAAGGAAATGAAAATTCAGCTGTTTAGTTTCCTATCCTAATCTGTGAGGGTAAAGAAGAGGTGTGTTCCATAAAGACAGACCCGGTTCTCTGGTTCTACAGACCTAGACCATTTCCCAGAGCACCTGGCTGGCTGAGTGGCTCCTTGATTCTCAGGCAGTGCCGACGCTCACCTTTTGATGTGGGAGGGTTTTTTTGGTTTGTTTGTTTGTTTGTTTGTTTGTTTGTTTGTTTGTTTGTTTTAAGCTCTTCTTCGGTGATTGAGTTAGGGATTGAAACAAATATGTTTTAAGGTTAAGATTCTGATGAAATACTTTATTTTTTGTAGGCAGGAAGTCAGAGTACCAGTGAAGAGATATTACCAAATAGAAAGAAGTATGTTCATAAAGATTTCTTTTTCTACTCTTTGAAAAGTTACTTCAGTTTCTAAAGGCTCACCTTTATTTACCCAAACTTGTTTAAGAAAATCAGATAAATCAAAAATAGGTAACACTGTGTGCTTCAGTATTTGATACTGCCATTAATTCCATGCTAACTTGATGGGTTAAACCACATTTCTGAAGGATAAATGTTTCAAGCTTAGGGGTTGATAAGAATTTAAAAGCCAGACATATAGATAATTTTTAGAAAATATTCCTCATGTTCCTGTTCCCTTTCTTTAGGTGAGCTCTTAAAAAGCTAAGTGCTAAACTGTGACAGGTTGTAAACAGTCTATCATGTGTTAAAATGGATCTGATTTAGAATGCAGAGTCTGTCTCTAAAAGACTGCCTTTTCTCAAAACTGCAGGTCGTTTCTGAAGGTTTATGTCTAGAGTGTTGAGTATAGTATCTGTAAGTAGATTCCCCAAGAGTTCTGTTGAAAGGCACTTAATGCAGATTACATAAATTAATAACTGGATTTTGTTTGGGTTATGTATGTTGTAAAATGCACAAATCAGTGGGTTTGTCTTTAGTCACCTTATTCTCATTTGGGGTTGATGGAAATGAAGTAAGGACCAAGTAAACGACTTTTTTTCAGGTGCAAATTCGACCATGGAACCTAAGTGACAGTGACTTTGTAATGGATGGTTCTCAGCCTTTGGACCCCAGAAAAACTATCTTTGTTGGGGGAGTTCCACGACCCCTTCGAGCTGGTGAGTGGAAATAGTAACACCACAACAACAAAACCACCAACAACAAAATCCCCAATATGTATGTAGTGTTCAATATTTTCTAGGTTTCCGATCGACTATACACAGTCTCCAAAAGAAGTTTCACTGAGCTGACTGACTCTTTCAGGATTAAACATTTTCTCCCCAGATGGTTTATTTTCTTATGGTACAAGAGTGAATTTCATTAAACTGTTACTTTGACAGGATGAATTCTATTTAGTGCTGTCATATTCAACCACATATTTTTAAAATAATAACAATACATTTGTCAGTATGCGTTCTTATGCGAGTCAGCATTGTTATGTGTGACAGAAAAAGCAGTGACCCCATCAGAAATCTGTCCACCACAGCTGTGTACCCCTCAGTGACAAGCCAAACTGCTGCTCTGCTAGAAATTGTGTCCCTGGGAATCGAACTGGGAATCTTCCTAAGTGAAACAGGTTCCTATTTTTTCTTATGCACTTTGAAAAATGAGTTATGTATTTGAGCGTTTTTATTATGACTTTTTAAAAGCTTCCCTATTTTTTTCTTTTTTAAGTTCTTTTCCAATGATGAAATAATTGTGCCTGCTGAAATCAGATAGATCATAATTGACTGGGGCATTTGAAGTGATGCTGAGCTAATGAGTTCAATAGTTAAGTCCAAAGACAGATCTAATCAGTTGGGGATCAGTGTTCTACCAGTAAAATACAATAAAATTATTTGTTAGAACGGAGTTTTTAAAGTGCTTAAAATAATTGAGTTTGCTTTTCAAAAATGAGATGACAAGATAACGTTACCATTGCCATAGCAGTTGCAAAAGTGCAGTGTGATCTCTGTTATTTGGAAGCAAGCAGACATAGCTCTACCTAAAAAAAAAAAAAAAGAAGACAAGAAAAAAAGAAAAAGCAGTGACCATTAAAATCAAGTTGTGAAAAAAGAATTATAAAATGTACCTACAGCTATTTGTCTCTGACTTTGATAACTTCTTAATTCTAAATGTCAACATTTCTAACACATTTATTCAAATCTCAACTTCAGTCTGCTCCTCAAAGCTTTCTGTAGACCCATATAAAGACATATCCATAATTCCATTTTGAAAGACATTAAAACACAATAATTATGACTGTGAAGGTTGTAACTTTACAGTTTTTCAGAAAACCAAATATCTTTAGGTCTTGTTCTCACTCTAGTGGAAAAGTGTGCCGAGGGTAAGAAAGCAAAGCGGCAGAGATGTCTCGCCTTGATCCACTGTTAGAGAATAAAGTCCAGGAAGTGCTAACTGGGATGTGGACAGCATTATGAGATGAGGGCAAATGCAGCTCTTTGTTTCTAAACTTCTTGTGCTTTAAAAAAAAAAAAAAAAATGGGGGTGGGGCATGGAATATTCCTGTCTTTTTCTAACTGGTGTTATGTTTGGGAGTGGAAAGGGAGAAGAATCCCCTTTGACAGTCTTTTACTTGTATAGGTGTTCTTAAAGAATAGATATTCATTGCTAGCATTCTAGTTATTCTTTTTTTGCAGCTAACTACAAGCACAAATTAGTTTTAATATTCTAGCCCCTCTCCTTTTGTAGATGGGGATCTGAAAAAATAAATTCTGAAAGAAAAAGTCCCACATTTATAAAAATAACAGAACTGGCTTTAACCTTTTATGTCTGTTTTTAAGTCACAGACACAATAGTGTATAAGCTAAATTCCTTTTTTTATTATTCACCATTTTCATTATTATTCACAAGATGCCGCAAGTCGTAGGACTAGATAAGAATTATATTTAGTTGTTTAGTCAGAAATGGGATTTTATGTTCCCTGCCTACCTGCTGTAAGTCTTGAGGTACTCTTTCTTTTTTGAGCTAAGCTAAATTTTTTGTTGTAAAATTGGTTTTTTTGCAGTTTTGTGGATAATGTCTGCATTCACTTGATCTAATGAAAACGTTCCCCTATGTCAACACCTCCCATAAGAGTAGCTAGTTTCTAGATGGCTAAGCAATCTGTATTAGCATCTTAGAATTTTACTGCCTATCTAAGACTTTGAGATTGGAATCTATGTAATCTAAACAAAAAGAGTTGACATCTGCAGCTTTTATCCACGTGCATAGAATTGGGTTTCTTTGGAACACACTGAGCTTTGTGGACTGGTGTGTGCCTTGGAATAGAGGACTATTTTTAAAGGAATTCATTTTGACTTTGCTAGGCAGTCTTGAGTTGAATACAATGCAGTTCACTTGAACAATAAACATTTATTGAGCATCCACGTGTTACTGGCACAGAGCAAGTATGTGTCATGCCAAACTGAATGAACATCCCACTGTCGTGTTAAATAGGTCATCGTCTACAGAGAGTCACAGATTTCAGAAAAGAAGAAAACAAGAAATGTATTAATAGAAGTATCCAGAAGTAATTGGATACTAAATTGTACTTTTTAACACACTGGATCTCAAATTTGGTTTTTAAGTATTTTAGGACATTTATTATTACTTCTAAGGGAGTATTGTGGTCATAGAATTCTGAAAAGTCTTAAAGCTATCTCAGGCACTACCTACAAGGTGATCCTGGAGTAGACATAGTTGATAGTATTCAACACGTGAGATTTTTAGGTATCCAGATTGATTTTCACCTTACCTGGGGCCAAAAATTGTCCTTTAACATGTTATAATGAATAAAATGTAATAACTACAGTTATTCCTTTGAATTTTGTGAGGCTTTTTCTCTTTGATATGTTACGTTGTAAGACAGGGACTATTATTCCTAATAAGTTATTCTAAATAAAGTCCTTATCCTACCAAACAGAAACACACAAACCCTCCTAAAGAATTAAGGTAACCTGTTTTAAGCAGTATTGCCCTGGCTGAGTATCAGTAGATCCTTCCAGTCTTTTTGATAAGCCTTCCTTTTTAAGTTTCATGTTGGGAGGGGAAAAAAATCATAGGTCTAGAAAATTTAACCCTGAAAATGGGAAAATATCCATGGAAAATCTAGATGAGTTTACCCAGTTAGATTGCTTGATTGGTGGTTGCTCTAGGTTAAATAATACACATTCCTACTCTCTTTGTCCCTCCCTTCCATCCCTCTTGTCAGTGACAGTGGCAAGCCAAAGACGGTTTGCCTTAAGTCTCTTGGTGTTTCTCAGGTCTTGTTCTCCTTCCACTCCCCACCACTTCCCACCCCCATCCTTGGAAAGGCTATAGGTAGACTCGCCATGCCGTCGTGTGGCTACGGTCTGCATATTCTTCAGAGTCAGTGCCAGGAAAGGGGTGGTCTGTCTGGTTCTCTACCTGCTTCCACCTGAAAGTACAAGAGCATGTTACCAGTCTTCATTCAAGTAATGTGAACAGCACATCTTCCTGAATCTCAACACAGAAATAGCCCTGTTGTATATCATCCCTGTGGCATTAGGACCTATTTTCCTCTGAGAGGAAATAAGTGCCAGGCTTGGGGATTATGAATAGGCCATCAGGAAAAGGTGGAGAATGAAGCTTCTGGTCTCTGTACACACCCCCAGTTTAGAAACATGAGTTTATGACCCCAGATTCTTGGCTTAGATATCTAATATGAAGATTGCCTCGGGAATCAAGCTTTGGGACCCATCCCCTTCTATCTTTAATAAGGCTTGGAACACCCTCAGACTTCCTCTCTCGTTAGGGACATGTGAGCTGATCTTCCACATCATGACTTCCTTCTGACAGTTTATCTGATCAGGTCCTGCAGAACAGATCAATCTTGAGAGATTGCTCACGTGAGTCCCTGGAGCCTGCCAATTACTCATCATCTTTGGGTCTCCTGTCTTTCCTCTTGTTCTGATAATTCTTTCCTGTCTTTTTCTCCTCTACTAATATTCTGTAATGGACCCTGAAGTTCCCTTCTCCATCTCCCCCCACCCGGCCCCCACCCCCACCCCACCACCTGTACTGTGAGGATGACTTTTCTGGGAGGAAAACAAAACAATACAAAAATTTTGAGGTAAATATTCAGTGACATATGACATACATTTAGCTAGCATCCTGAATTTTTCTAAGAGCACTTATTTTAGACATTCTGTACAAACATTCTGGTAGTTCACATGTATTAGGAATCACATCCTGATTTGTGATTTAGGAAATAGTATTGGAACCATATCCTTTTTTGTTGTTATTGTTCTGTGAAGTGGTAAAACCAGGTTTCTCAGTGGGAACAAGTCCCAAGTTCAGAATGAGTTGTCCCAGATAAACTCCAGATTTGGCACACTGACTTGATTAATTGGATTGCCTTTAGGGTTAAGGATTTTCTAATGCTAGTCGTTCTCCCCCTCAAACCCTTACCCACAGCTGGTGTCAAACATTGCCATATCATTGGCAGGTTGAATAACATTAGCGTACAGCCAAAGTAAGACTGGGAGGAACTGGTGCTTCTGGAGCAGAAACCAGGCCAAGTTAATATTAAGCAAAGATTTATGAGTAGAGAGAAAAACACCCCCTGGGCAAAACTAAACATTGGAGCACCACTCTGTGCTCAGCAGTGTGTTCAGAGCTCTCATGTATGTTTAATCGTCATGATAACGTTGTAAGTGGTGGACTTTTCATTTTAGAGATAAGGAAGCAGAGTTCAAAGGGGGGTGATTGGCCAAGGCCACAATAAGTAGAAATGCCACGATTTAAACTCAGGTCTCCAGACTTCCAAGTTTGGAGCTCTTTGTACAGAAGGAAGCTGCTTTATCAAGCTGAGATCTGAGATGTTGTCTCAGTAACAGTATTAACAGTCAGCTGGATACCAGTCTGATTTAATCAAGTTTGGTGCTCATTCCCTCCGACTTAGTTGGTTGTTCATACAGTTATTTGAAAATACTCTTAGTGGAAGTTTATGAGCATATTTTCACCATTTAAAATGTGTGAACTGCCTTGCTAACCAATTCGGCTATGGTAGAAAACCTAGACAGTCCAGCTTCTAGTTGAATCTTGCTTTCTTTCAGAAGTCCAGATCTCTTTGTCATCCCGAGGTGCCTTATGCCTCTTTCCTGTTTGCTTTGTACTTATTTCCACAAAGAAGAAATGTGGCTTCTAGATTCACAGTTTAGAATCTGGAAAGATGAATGTGTTGATATTTCCCTTGGGGATTTTCATTCCTGCTCTACCCCATTTGGTTCTCATAGTATCTCAGACTTAGACATTGCCTATGGCTGGCTTTGAAATCTAGTTAAATGATAGGAACAGGACCCTGATGTGGGGTAGGATGAGGGAGTCATCATGATTTTCTCTCTGGTGAGCTAAAGTCCTTCAGATCTCTGTGAAGATTCAGAAGCAAATCCAAGGAACAGGGGTGCCTGGGTGGCTCAGTCAGTTAAGCGTCTTACTTCGGCTCAGGTCATGATCTCACGGTTTGTGAGTTCGAGCTCCGCATCAGGTTCCGTGCTGACAGCTCAGAGCCTGGAGCCTGCTTTGGATTCTGTCTGTCTGTCTGTCTCTCTCTCTCTCTCTCTCTCTCTCTCTGCCCCTCCCCCGCTCACACTCTGTCTCTCTCTCACAAATACATAAACATTAAAAAAAAAAAATCCAAGGAACCATAAGTGGGGTTTAGATTCAATTTCAGAGGCATAGTCTCCACAACCCAGAGGAATTCTTAGATTTCTGTATGCTACACACAACTGCAATATTCTTGTTTCCCTCTCCGGCTGTGACATAGTGAAGCTCATCTCAAGAGCCAATCTATAGATCAGAGTCATAGTAGTTTTGTTGTTACCATTCCTGAGATGACTTGAATTGTCAGGAGCACAAAGTGTCTCATCGAAAGTACAAAATGCCATTGGATATGGCTACCAGACCTGCTGATTCCCCACCCCTGTGGTGACCAGACAGATCCTGTGAATACTGTTTGGATAGGAAGGGAAAAATAAAAAGTCGTCTGAAGATTCCTGCCTTCCACATGGACTCTGGATGCCTGCTGTCACTTCCATCTGTCTGAATTCCAACCTCCACCTCTATTCCCTGCTCTGGTAGCCTCATCTTCCTCAGGTCAAATGTTAGGAATGTGCCTGGGAGCTGCACTGTCTGCCTTCTACAGAGGATGGTTTAGAATGAGGATTCGTTGTCATGGGCTTAGTAGAGTTGGCTGCATTTTTCCAATAAGGCACATCCTTGATCAAAACTACATTTCATGAGCAGGGTTGAGATCACAAGATATGGATAACCCCATGAAGGTTTTAGTTGACTTCTGCCAGATCCTGCTTTTCTTCTGTTTTTCTCTCTTCTTCCTAAGTAGTCAGAGTGGTAGTCCTCCTCATGGCTCAGCTTCACCCACATCAGAAGGGAATTTATATTAACTTTCCTGTATTAACTGGTGATACTCCTTTTAAATATTCCTTTTAATACCTAGTCTCTTGGGGTGCCTGGGTGGCTCAGTCAGTTAAGCCTTTGACTCTTGATTTCGGCTCAGGTCATGATCTTGCAGTCATGGGATTGAGCCCCATGTCATGCTTTGCACTAACAGTGCAGAGCCTGCTTAAGATTCTCTCTCTCCCTCTCTCTCTGTCCCTCCCTTTTCCTTGCTTGCTTGTGCACGTGTGCATGTGCTTCCTCTCTCTCTCTCAAAATAAACATTTATAAATAAACAAACAAACAAATAAATAAAAGCTAGTCTCTAAACATAGTTTTAAATTTTGATGTCTGTAGGTGAATTTTATGTTCTATATAAAAAAATGTTTTAGATTATAAATTTATAGGACTTAAGAAAGTCTTGTTCTGTGTTTCTGTTAGTCATCTGTGTAGTGGATGAATTAAATTGGTCTCTCTCTTTTTTATAATGCTGTTTTTACCAAGCATGGCTACTTTTCTCAATAATTAGAAACTCTGTTTAGTACTTAAATGACACCAATCTGGTGTTAGAACCCAGCATGAGTGTAGCCTGCAGCAAGTGTGCTTGTAGTGAAGAGTAGCTGACTGAGTAAAGGATTAAATATAAACAGCAGTTGTTTGACTGTTATTTACTTTTCTTCAAGGGTGATCACAGTATTAGACCTTCTGTAGTTAAAACAGAGATTAGGGTAGAAAGAGGGATGGGAAATCTTCAAACTCTTTCCCAAAACAACTTTTTAGTCACCTTGATTTCTTGTAGCTTCTCAACAAGTTGTCCTTCACTTGAGTGAGATTTCATTGCCTTAAACGTCTGCCAATTTTGGTGGCCAAGAAAATGACTGTATAAAAGTGTACAAGTAGAAAGGATTTATTTATAATTAGCTTTCATAAAAGAATGAGTGAGGGTTTTGGCTTTATATCAAAAGTACTTAACTGCCATCAGTCACGACCTAATCTTTGGCATGTGAAGATTTTCCAGCAGCTAGATTCACCAAGTAATAGAATGTTCGTGCTGTGGAACCACCTTCTCTGATGTCCGAGGATCCCTAAAATTCCTTTGGAGACCACTGCGCTGTAAAAGAGCCTATGGTTATAGTAACTCTTCTCCTTAGCTGGGGCTTCAAGCTTTCAGGCAGTATACCTTCTCTCTAAATGAGTGCTTTCATGAGTCCTTTCTAAGGGTGGAAGACAAGTGGCATTCAGTTCCTTGCGGACATTCTTCTCCTGGCTGTTCACCAGGCTGAGGGAGTGCTTGCTCTCTTATTCCATTCCAGGGGAAGCTAGGTCTTTGGAAAATTAGCGTTTAATTTCCACTTCCTGAGGTTGCTTATTTTATTAAGCCCCTTGACCAATAAGGGAAATTGATTCATGACTGCACTTAATTATTTCTACCTCAGTGTCTTAGTCTCTGTTCCTGAAGTAACATTAGCCATGTGAGGAGGTCCTCAAGCCATCAGAGGTTTTTGGGCTGAAGTGTGAGGACTTACTGAACTCTGATATTCAGGGTATGTGCATGATTCTTCTTGCATTGCTTGAATGAATGTGATTCCTGGATCCTGCCCCACGACTGCAATCACAGTCTACTTGGGCTCTAATCAGCATGTTCTTTGGTTGATATGACTCAGTAATTCTGATCATAATGGGATAATTGGGATAGCTTTTGGTTCTATCTTTAATAGCACTTATTCTTGGGCTTAGTGATTGCCTGCCTATTTGCTCACCTTCTGAAAATTCCAAAATCTGTTGGTTGCAGATCATTCTTCTTAAGAACAGTACTTAGAAAACAATCACCAGCATTATGGAGAGAAATCTTGAAAAAGTTCAGTAGAAAGACAGCCTTTCTGTCATGGCAGCATACCTTTTCTTACCAGTTCAGCGGTCTCATACTTCAGGAACCAGTAGTGCCTGGCTTTCCCTCTGTTCGTAGAAGTCTGGTGGGGTTCTTACGCTATTCGACTCTCCAGCCCTTGTAGCTGCTACAGAGTTCCTCCTGTACCTCAGGGGGTTGTGTTGCTTTCCTTCCCCCCAAACACTGATTCCTGTGGAAGTCTGATATGTGATGTGATGGTCTTTGCGCACCGGCTATGACCCAGGCCATCATCCACCTACCCTGTCTTCTCCTTTCTAAATACCGTATCTAGGTGTTTGAGGAAAGTGGGTTCTTGGGTCGTTCCCCAAGGGTAGGGATAAGTCTTTTGGACTTAAATCATATGAGTAGCCTGAAAGGAATGTTCATACGTGGAGGAAGTGCCATCCAGTACCAAGTAAACAGTTACCTTCAGGAAATTTGGATCCAGGTAAGTAACTGCTACATGTCTTTCCTTGACATGATGAGGATAATTTTAGAATATCAGATCTTTGGAATGGTCCAATTTTCAAATGCCTTCTGTATAGGTGTTTTGTAAATATACCAATATAAAGGTATATTTAGAAGAAATGTGGCAAGGAGTGCAGACCAGACCTCTGGATTCATAGCAGAGTACAGGAAGGGTATGTTTTTACTGCCTTTAAGGCAGCTTAGTGTTTCCTGATACATTGTAAGTGCTCAATAAATGTTCATTGTTGCTATTATAATTATTACTGTTATTATTATTTACAATTCAGTGTGAGAGGCTAGTGTGGAGATTTCTCAATTGGGATAGAATATACTAAAAAAATATTTAATTGTAGAGATTTACCTTAAGGTTATAAATATATTGCCTTTAATTAAAGAGAGGAGTTAATTCTTTCTATAGCTTAATCTTAATATAGCAGTGTGACTTTAGTAATTGCTTTTAGTCTTAGAGGTCAGTAAATAGGGCTGTTTAGAATTAACTTGGTAGGGCATCATTTGAAATGCTTTGCCTACCCAGGGCCCACTCCAGTGGACTAAACAGAAAGTGGAACAGGAGGATTGCTGATAGATGATTCCTTTTATACTTTTGCTGAAGTTCCGATTATGTAAATTTGTGTGTGTGTGTGTGTGTTGTGTGAATTCGTAATTTTTTTTTTTCATTTTATTTGTAAATATGAGGATCTCCCCTGCCTGAGTTTGTTAAGACTGATGTGGACACTCTTCATGATACTTAACATGGGTTTTCCTTTTATTAATTATACTGCATGACCCTTAAACAGTTCCTCCTTCTCCTGGGCAAAAGTGCCTTCTAAACATTCATACCAAATTGTGTTTATTTTCTTGCAGTTGAATTGGCAATGATCATGGACCGTTTGTATGGTGGTGTCTGCTATGCTGGCATCGATACGGACCCAGAGCTGAAGTACCCCAAAGGTGCTGGCCGCGTGGCGTTCTCCAATCAGCAGAGTTACATTGCAGCCATCAGCGCTCGCTTTGTGCAGCTCCAACACAATGACATTGACAAACGGGTAAGCAACTGCTTAGGCTATAATTGCTAGGGGGAAGAAATGCAGTTTGTTTTCTGGGCCCCTGGGGAGAAAAGCACCTTGTGATCAAAAGTGAGCAACTCTGCCCTCCGTGGTATGAGTCCACGAGTCCCTCCCTCTAGACTGCCTGAAAAAGAGAGTACCCATGAAATTTAGGGCGTTAATGAACCTTCTGCCTCACCCATCCCCAGGGTGATGTTACGCTTATGAAAATAACCCTGCAGAATTTAGCATACCAAACTGGTACTGTTCAAAAGATGATACCAACGGTGCGTTAACAAAGGTTGCGAGCTGGTGCTCTCAAATAAGTTTGGACTAACGTTTAATGTTAATGTTCAGGAGTGTACATAAAATTTTGAAATTCTGGTTTCTCTTAAAATTGCAAGATCATACATGATAGCAATCATTGGAACAAAATAGCTGCTACCCCTTCCAGTCCCCTCTCCAACTCCCTGTAGTCCTGCTCGTATGGTATATGCATATGCATTACCTGCCCTTTTGCACCATGGTGTTACCTGCCTGGCCATTAGGCAGGTACCTCTGATGTAACCTCTGATTTGCTACCTCTGATGTAAAGAGGGGACATGCAATAGAGTTGTAGGGGGTTGGTGTGCTCAGTTGGTTTTGTGGACAGACGTAGGTTTAAATCCCTTAGATCCTAGCTCTGCCACTCTTTGGAAGTTTGGGGGAATAGAAGGTAGCAGGAGATCATCTGACACCTGTATTAATTTTTTTTTTTTTCAACGTTTATTTTTGGGACAGAGAGAGACAGAGCATGAACGGGGGAGGGGCAGAGAGAGAGGGAGACACAGAATCGGAAACAGGCTCCAGGCTCTGAGCCATCAGCCCAGAGCCTGATGCGGGGCTCGAATTCACGGACCGCGAGATCGTGACCTGGCTGAAGTCGGACGCTTAACCGACTGCGCCACCCAGGCGCCCCTGACACCTGTATTAATGAAGGAATAGAGCAAGTAGACTAGTTCAAGTCTTGAACACCTCCCTGTGCAAACTGTGGCTGTTAACAGCTTCCAGCAAAGGATGTTCTTGGGGCATACATTGGACTGGAATAAATTAAAGTAGTATAAATATATCCTACTATGAAGTTCCACCTGTACTCTCTATGGTCAACTTTTGACTAATTTTGTGTAGCAAACTTAAATTTCTTGGAAGGTGGAAGTTTCAGTTGGTGATGGATTTTTAAATATTCAGCAAGTTATATTTTTATTAAGACGTTTACCTGATCAAATTAGAAAAGCCAGTGCCTAAAATAATTAGTTGCTACATTACTGGGCTCCTGAAAAGTAAGTAGTGGTGGTTTGTTTGTTTTTGTAATTAAACTAAATAAAAGAACTCTTTTTTCAGAATTTTGAAATTCTTTGAATTAATGGAGACTCTGAGGTGTGATAAAGATCCAACTCCATTCCTAGCTTTCAGGCACCCACAGCGTTCTGAGCTTCCCCTTTTATAGCGGTAATCCCCCTCAGACTGTCAGCTCCACGAAGATAGGCTGTCGCTGTCTGTCTCTCTCTCTGCTCCATTTCCAGTGCTTACCCATTGCTTGATGTACAGCTACGGTAGTAGGTGCTCGATAAACCTTTGTTAAATTGACGAATGGCTATACTTGGAGGATTTTCTTAAGTACTGCTGCTGGTGCCAGTGAACCTGCTTGTGCCTGTACTTTTGTGAGTCTGAAAACACCAGATTCTATTACATTTAGACTGCTATTGCACCTGTCACTGGTGACCCCAGGCAATAAACTTAACCTGAAGAGCCTTAGATTCTCATCTGTATGCTTTTCCCCCTGTGAAGCCAGAACTAGTGACTGGACAGGAGGTAGGTACTAGAAAAGATAAAGAAGCCTCCATTTCCCAGGGTGCCTGGGTGGCTCAGTTGGTTAAGTATCTGACTTCGGCTCAGGTCATGATCTTACAACTCGTGAGTCTGAGCCTTGCGTCGGCCTCTGTGCTGACAGCTCAGAGCCTGGAGCCTGCTTTGGGTTCTGTGTCTCCTCTCTCTCTCTCTCTCTCTCTCTCTCTCTCTCTCTCTCTCTCTCTCTCTCCCCCGCTCATGCCCTGTCTCTCTCTCTCAAAAATAATAAATATTAAAATAAAAATTAAAAGAGAAAAGAAGCCTCCATCCCCCATGGTTCTATCTTCCCTTTGCCCCCAGGCTAACCTCTAACCTACTCCTTACCAGAGGGAAGTACACTTGCCCCCGGAAACATGGCAATCTCCGAGCCTCTTTTAAAATCACAGTAAATTCAGATACTGTTTGTTCTATTGACAGCCCCTTCCCCTTCTTCTGCTATACTCAGCTCTTTAGCACGTCTTCCCACAAGACATAGAACCAGGCTAAAAGAGAAGTGGCTTTGCTTTTGTGAGCATGATGATGGGCCATGCTTATGAGAATGTGTCAAACTCCCGAGGACTTGAGAAAGCCATTGACTATTTTCTTCCCACTGCATTTGAGTTATCCGTACCTTCCATATCGTAAAGTAGTCCTTGATAACCATTTAGAGTAGCAGTTAATTGTAATGGGAAGAGTGTGGAGTTTGGAGCTAGAATAGATTTCAATACTTTTAAATTTCTGCTGCACTAGTCACTGATGACCCCAAGTAAGTTACTTAGTGCCAGGAGCCTTGGGCCCTCATCTGTAACTCCCTCCTGGGGATGGTCTGAAGACTAAATGGGATTTGAGGATTGAACATCAGCCAGAGCTGTATGACATTTGGATAGATATTTAGTAACTAGCACTTGATGGTTAACAGTATTCATCTTGCTACAAATGCACTCAATACTGATGTTGTTAAAATCATGTAGCTTGAATTTTATCAGTTGCTCTGCTGAAGATGTAACGAAAAGACCACTGGTTAGTGTAAAGAGCACTGGCTGGGTTTATGTCTGGTCTCCTTCCCAGGGGGCTATGTGGTTGTAGCCACATTACTTAAATGCTGAGCTTTGGTGTATAAGGCAGTAGTAACAGCCCTGTGAGAAGCCCAGAAGAGAGAGTGGACAGAAAGCAATATATACAATGTAACACATCATACATACGTACGGTGGGACTGCTGCTGTGGTCACAAGAATGCCACCTCCATCCACATCCTGTCAGTTCCTTCAGTGCCGCAGGATGAGAGTCATCTCAGTGAGAAAATTGCAAGTCATTCAAAGTGGCCCAGTCCCTCTTCTCTGGCTCCTGGCTCCTGGCTCCCTCTTCACGCCCTTTGTTTCTTTGACCAATATGGAGACCATTTTCCTTATCTTAGAGACGTAAGCCAGCTTCCGTGCTGAAATAGGTTCCTTTTTCACTGTTCTGTGAACATTCCACTCCCTTCCCCCAAATTGTTACTCTGTCCTCTTGTTTCCTTCTTACTTTGAACGTAGCCAACAATACCTTATTTTTTTTGACTCTGGCATTTTGAGCCTCTGTTAACTGCACCCTTCTTAGATGCTTTTTAAAGTTCATCCCTAGTTTTATTTTTCTTTATCTTTCTCTTAAAGCTTAAGTTTGAGCTTTCCAGAGATCTCCCATTATATATGACTACATCGGTATTTCCTTAGGTAATGCTCTTTTTATTTCTCAGTGGCTCTGTTCTTCATTGTCTGCAGAAAATTTATTAGGCACAACCTTCTTTCCTGAATAACCCCTGTAGGTTTTTGGCAATAGCTAAGGTTTTGAAATTTGCTGTCCTAAAAGTCAGGAGAATGTATCTTTCTGTGCCCGTAATCCCTTTTCCTTGATATTGCAAATTCCAAAATGCTATAGCCTTATTCTCCTTCTTTCTTATATTAGCCTAGAGTTGCCTTTAAACCAAGACTTGACTATCTTAAATAGCATCAACCTTTATTACCTTTCTGGTCACAGAAACTTCATTTGCTGTCGGTATCATTATGAATGCAGATATAATGCCATCAGTGAATTAAAAAAAAAAAATCAACCTATAGATAACATTTTTTTAATGTTTATTTACTTATTTTTTTATTTTTTAAACGTTTATTTATTTTTGAGACAGAGAGAGACAGAGCATGAATGGGGGAGGGGCAGAGAGAGAGGGAGACACAGAATCGGAAGCAGGCCCCAGGTTCTGAGCCATCAGCCCAGAGCCCGACGCGGGGCTCGAACTCATGGACCGTGAGATCGTGACCTGAGCTGAAGTCGAACGCTCAACCGACTGAGCCACCCAGGCGCCCCAATGTTTATTTATTTTGAGAGAGGGGGAGAACAAGCAGGGGAGGGGCAGAGAGAGGGGAGGAGAGAGAATCCCAAGCAGGTTCCATGCTGTCAGTGCAGAGCCCGACATGGGGCTCAATCTCATGAATCGTGAGATCACAACCTGAGCTGAAATCAAGAGTCAGACGCTTAACCGTCTGAGCCACCAAAGTGCCCCTATAGATAGCATTTTAAGGACTGCTTGCTTGCTGTTTGCAGGCTCTAACCCCTTCATTTTTGGGCCCGTGTGGAGAGTGGGAGAGGGCCGCCTGCAGAGCAGCAGTGCCAGCAACTTGGGAAGTTCTGGGACTAAGGTGTGCTCTCAGGTTGCACCTTCCCTAGGTAAACTGTGGGAGGCACACGAAGAAGAATTTGGTGTATTTCCTTTACCTCTTTTGTATCCAGCCAACTTTTCTCAAAAAAGACCTCTCTTTTGAGAATTTAACCATTTATGTATCTACTGTTGTTGTTGTTATTGCTGCACTTTGGCTAAGTTTTTAGATGGAGTGGCTCATGGGGAAAATACAACCTTTATAGATTTGATTTCTTCTCACAGTCTTAGTGACCTTTTGGCTTGCTTATCGTAAAATAAAATATGTCAGTATGCAACATCTGTGGGATCTGTCAGTCCTGTACTTTGGCACTTTTCTCCCTCTCCCGTCGTTTCACTCACCCAGAATGCCCTCCCTTTTTAAGGAAGAGGTGGCAGTTTTGGGTTTTGTTTTGGTAGCAGCTTTACGTAGATATAATTCACATGCCATACAAATCACCAATTT